GAATATATGAAAACAATTCCATTTACAATAGCCTCAAAAAAATCAAATACCTAGGTGTAAACCTAACAAAGGATGTGAATGACCTCTACAAGGAAAACTATAAACTTCTGAAGAAAGAGATTGAGGGAGACTATAGAAAGTGGAGAGATCACCCATGCTCATGGATTGGTAGAATCAACATAGCAAAAATGTTGATACTCCCAAAAGTAATCTACATGTTTAATGCAATTCCCATCAAAATTCCAATGACATTCATTAAAGAGATTGAAAAATCTACCGTTAAATTTATATGGAAATACAAGAGGCCACGAATAGCCAAGGCAATACTCAGTCAAAAGAACAATGCAGGAGGTATCACGATACCCGACTTCAAACTATATTACAAAGCAATAACAATAAAAACAGCATGATACTGGCACAAAAACAGACATAAAGACCAGTGGAACAGAATAGAGGACCCAGATATGAAGCCACACAACTATAACCAACTTATCTTTGACAAAGGTGCTAAAATATACGATGGGGATAAGACAGCCTCTTCAACAAAAACTGCTGGGAAAACTGGTTAGCAGTCTGCAAAAAACTGAAACTAGATCCAAGTATATCACCCTATGCCAATATTAACTCAAAATGGATCAAGGATCTTAATATCAGACCCCAAACTCTAAAGTTGATACAGGAAAGAGTAGGAAATACTCTTAATAGGTATAGGCAAGAACTTTCTCAATGGAACCCCAGCAGCACAGCAACTAAGAGATAGCATAGATAAATGGGACTTCATAAAACTAAAAAGCTTCTGTTCATCAAAAGAAATGGTCTCTAAACTGAAGAGAACACCCACAGAGTGGGAGAAAATATTTGCCAACTATACATCAGACAAAGGACTGATAACCAGAACATATAGGGAACTTAAAAAACTAAATTCTCCCAAAATTAATGAACCAATAAAGAAATGGGCAAGTGAACTAAACAGAACTTTCTCAAAAGAAGAAATTCAAATGGCCAAAAAACACATGAAAAAATGCCCACCATCTCTAGCTATAAAGGAAATGCAAATTAAAACCACACTAAGATTCCACCTCACCCTTGTTAGAATAGCCATCATTAGCAACACCACTAACAACAGGTGTTGGTGAGGATGCAGGGAAAAAAGGAACTCTCTTACACTGCTGGTGGGAATGTAAACTAATACAACCACTCTGGAAAAAAATTTGGAGGCTACTTAAAAAGCTAAACATTGATCTACCATTTGATCCAGCAATAACACTCTTGGGGATATACCCAAAAGACTGTGACACAGGTTACTTCAGAGGCACCTGCACACCCATGTTCACTGTAGCACTATTCACAATAGCCAACTTATGGAAACAGCCAAGATGCCCCACTACTGATGAATGGATCAAGAAAATGTGGTATCGATACACAATGGAATTTTATGCAGCCATGAAGAAGAACGAAATGTTATCATTCTCTGGTAAATGGATGGAATTGGAGAACATTATTCTGAGTGAGGTTAGCCCGGCCCAAAAGACCAAAAATCGTATGTTCTCCCTCATATGCAGACATTAGATCAAGGGCAAACACAACAAGGAATTGAACTTTGATCACATGATAAAGCGAGAGCACACAAGGGAGGTATGAGGATAGGTAAGACACCTAAAAAACTAGATAGCATTTGTTGCCCTCAATGCAGAGAAACTAAAGCAGATACTTTAAAGCAATTGAGACCAGTAGGAGAAGGGGACCAGGAACTAGAGAAAAGGTTAGATCAAGAAAAATTAACCTAGAAGGTAACACACATGCACAGGAAATCAATGTGAGTCAACTCCCTGTATAGCTATCCTTATCTCAACTAGCAAAAACCCTTGGCCCTTCCTATTATTGTTTATACTCTCTCTTCAACAAAATTAGAGATATGGGCAAAATAGTTTCTGCCGGGTAGTGAGGGGGTGGGAGGAGAGAGAGGGGGATGGGGGGAGGGTGTAAGGAAGGGGCTGGGGGAGGGGGAAGAAATGACCCAAGCATTGTATGCACATATGAATAAAAAAAAATAAAAAAGAAACAAATAAATGAATAAATAAAATATTGAAACAAGCTAATGAGGATCCATAGTTCTTCCTTCCTGGAGTTCTTACAGAGATCAGCCCACCAGGCAGGACAGGCAAAGCAGATATTCACCAGTATCCAGGGCCAAATGCTATGTGGGGGTCCCTTCTGACTGAGAGAGGAGATAGGAAGACCTCAGTACTTTAGCTAAGCTGGTGTGACAAATTCCTGGACAGTGGAAAACCGTTCAATATGTAAAGATCTTGCTCTCAAACAATCTATCTGATGCTCTTCTATCATTCCTCTGCACCACCCTCACCCCCATTTCATAATGTTCAGACATGTTTTTGAGCAGGTACCATGCTCTGTAGCCACAGGGTGTCCCAGATGTACAAATGCACCTAGAATGTATCTTTATACTTGCTGTTTCCTCTACCTGGGATCATGTTCATACCTGGTACCTTCCCTTGCATCATTCAAGACAATATCCCTAGCCACTGAAAAGAAGTGTCTACCACTCCCACTCTATATCCTAACTGTTTATTTTCTTCTTAGTACTTATCAAAAATTAACTTGTATGTTTCTTGATACCTGTGCAATATGGACAAGAAAAGGTCAAAGTGCACCAGATGGCAATTTCCAAGAGTAGGACCCCTGCTAACATAAAAGTACTAGTTGAAGAATCAAATTTAACCTTAGAAAAAGTGACAAGGACTCCAATGGGAGAAAAAGGCAAAGAACTAAAAAAAAGAAAACATTCCAAGTGTCAAGAATAATCAAATACTAAATGCCAGTGGAGGTACAGAAAGAAGGAAAAAGAAATAAATTACTAAGTAACTATCAACTGTAGGTTTGACCCTGAAGACATATTGTGTATAGAGTAGACATTCTTAACTTTGGAGATGGACTTTTTTGAAAATCTGAAGAAAGCTACAAGCTTACCCAAAAAATACACACCTGCTGATCCTCACACACAATTTTACTTATAATACTAAAGGCCCACAGAACCTTGGAAATCCATCCAAGGACTCCAAGCTTCAGATCCTAAATTCCCTTGACACACATTACCTACCTATTATGAATGTCCTGCCCCAAAGAATCACTGGGCATATATAGAGACTTCTATATGACAGACAAGTTCCACGTTTACTTCCTTATCTCTACAGGTCTTCAGTTATGCCAGAGAGGAGAGCCTTGAAAAAGAGGCAAAGGAAGCAGTTCTGGTGACCTAACACAGAATCTAAGCTAATGGAGAGGAAGGTGACAGCCCAGCTAAAATGGAAGGAACAGATGTTTGTTTTGCATTGGAAAAACTTTGAAAATAAAGGTTTTGTCTTGTTTTAAACAAAGAACCATAAAACAGGAAAATATTTGGCCAGGAGCCTATATGCCTGAATTTTAGTGTGCCCACCACTAACTGCTTGACCTAGAACACATTACTCAACGTTGTTAACTGAAAACTGGAAACTTAAGTGAATTTTATTTTATACAATGGATGTGACCTTAAGAATTCTGAGATAAAATTGTACAGAAATCTAAATGTATATTGCACATGTAATAATAGTTTAAGCCAGAGGCAGGGGCACACATCCATAATCGCAGCACACATGAGGCTGAGGCAGAAGGATCACAAGTTCAAAACGGCCAGGACTTCATAGTGAGACTCTATCTCAAAAAAGACAAAACAACAACAAAAAAGAATTTAATAAATAAGTGACTTCATAAATAATTTTGTAAAGGAAATTATCACTATGGGTGATTTCTAACATAAACCTGTGTTACGCTAATGCATCACACAATGACTGGGCATGTTCTGAGAAATGCATCATTAAGCAATTTAATCATTATGTAATATTCTAAAGTGTTTTACATACTAGACAGTATAACCTATTACACACCTATCCTCTGTGGTACATGCTGTCACACACAGGGTCTGTCTTTGAAACATTAATATGTGACGCACAGCTGCATAATGCATTACATATTTCATGAAGTGGTTCTAAATATAAGTCTTTGGTAACTGTTTCAGAGAGAATGCCAAAGATAACTCTTGACAATCTGTCACCCAGATGTAACAAAATGTTTGCAAATTACGAAAGACATGTGATTAAAGTAAATTGCTGGTGCAGAATCCGTGCACCATATGAAACATACGTGTCACCTTTGCTGGTGTGGGATTGTCTATACAAGATGAAATTTCCTAATTGGGTAACCTTGGATGTACCTGGCTTCCCCAGCAATTCCAGTTCTCTCCTAACTTTCCACTGAAAATAGATTTTAATCTTACACAGGAAAGGTGAGATAGGAAGAATTTAAAGGAATATTAACCATAAAAACAACAGTGTCTAAGGCCATTCACAAAAAAACAAATTGTCCTACAAACATCCACAATTCTAATGGTTCAGCTGTATAACATCATAGTCATACTGATGGTGGCAGTAGTGATGTTTTAGAAACTCTCCTTCTTAAAGCAGTAAACATATACATATTTTGGAACTTCCTTCTGGTAATGAAATGTTAAGCATTTTACAGATTTTAGCTCATAAAGGTAGTAATTTTCTGAAAAAGTTATTTGCGTATAATTTCTTGTTTGATGGTAATACAACACATCTGAGATATCACTGCAGGTATTGTAGCCTTCTGTGAACATTTATCAGAAAAAAACAGTTTTTAATAACAATAAATTGTCATATAGCATGTTTTCAGTGATTGCAATACCCAGTATGATGGGGGAGGGCAGCATGAGGGATTTGATCTGGTGATTTAGATTGTGTTAGCAAAGAAGCTAGAAGACGTACCATTGGAGGGCAGCTTTGCAATTCTTGGATTAGCTATCCAGTGGCAGAACATGCAGGCACTCTCAAGAAATCCAGAGCCAAGAGCCACCAATGGAGTGTGGGGAAAATAATGTCACAAAGAAAAAGTCAGTGAGTCTCTTGCTTAAGTATTCTTACCTGTTTCTCCCAGAATCTCTGAATCCTTTAGCAAAAGGGTTTCGGTCGATTTTTAATCTGGTGATCTGGAAACAAGCAAATAAATATGAATTACTTTCATATTAGCTGATTTCTTTCTGTTACTCCTAGAAAAAAATGAACAAAAATCACTCTATCAATAACAGTTGCTAATATTATGAAAACAGGTCACACAGAGGTCACATACAAGAGGGACAGAAACTAAGAAGAAGAATATGGTTGATATACCCTCTATGCAAGAATGAATACAGAATTTTTAAACTGGTTGAAACCACCATAAGAAAGTGACTAGGGTTGAATGAAGAAAAACAGAGGAGATGAACCAACTGGAGTTATAATACATATATAAATGGAAATATCACAAGGAAACTTCTTGTGTAGCTATCTTTATCTTCAATAAGCAAAAACGTCATTTTTCTCTTTTCTTCTATAAGAAGAACAAGAGGGCAAAACAGGTCCAGGTGTGGGGGGGTTAATAGCAGTGGGAGTGGAGAGGTGGCAGGGAAAGGGTATAGGAGGGTGAATACAGTGCAAATACTGTGTACACATGTATGTAAATGCAAAAATGATACCTGTTGAAACTACTCCAGGAATAAGGAAAGGAAGGATAAAGGAGAGGGTGGAGAGGTGAATTCAAGTAGATATATTTAATACACTGTTAAGAACTTTTGTAAATGCCACAATGTACCCCCACCCAGCACAACAATAAAAAAAACAGCTGTTGTTTCTATTTAGTTTCCTTTTAGTTTGAGATTTAAAGTGCAACTTGAAAGAAGACTTGGGACCTGGCACCCAGATGTGTCATTCACTTTTCCTAAAACCAAAGGTTTGCCCCATATGTGACTGTGAACTCTCTTCTACTTACTCTCCTTGCTTCAAAGTGGTGATAAGTCATTTGCCTAGGTAGGCGCAGAAATAGAAAGCTTGTCAGTGGTTGGGTTCACAACACATGACACACAGAAGGAATTTTAGTGCCTGTTGGATGAATGGTGATCAAGTGAGTGAATAGGAAATGACTGGATCCAGCCAATCCAGTTAGGTGGCCCAAAATAACTGACTTCATTTCCCATTTCATTTAAGGTATACCTTTCCTGCCACCAGCAACTCTTAACTTAATGACCTAAAAAGTTCATGGAAAAGATGCAAAAAGTAGTTAGACTTCTGCTGGGCTTTTAACCTAAAGGAAAAACCAGTAAATACGAGTTTGAATAGAACATGGTACAGCACATCTCATCCAGACTCCAGGACTCACAAGCAAATCAGAAGAAACACAGAGGCAGCAACTTGCGAGCAAGCCCTACAAGTCCGCTTGCATCACCCATGTTAGGCAGGTTCACAGGGGGCATATGGTTTAACCTCCACCCAGTGTATTAGTCTCCCTCCACTGCATCCTATCTTAGTCCCAGAAAACCTGCCATAGGTGTATATATTACCTTGGGCCTCTACACAACTTTCTTACCAAGAAAGCAAGCCTGACCAACTTTCTCCATATGTAGTCTAGTGTTTCCTCTGCCAGCCTTGGTCATGGGAGGCATTTTGAGAGCTTGATGACTGAATCGATGTTATTGACTAGCTACATCCAAGAAGTAGAGATTAGACAGTGGGGGCTAGGAAACTCAAAGAAGGAAACATACTCTCAAAGGAAGATAATTCTAGAAATAAATAAATCTCATTATTTAAGACCATCTTCATATGTCTGCTAACTGCAGAACTTACCACTAAAGCAAGTAAAGTTGCTTCCTATGCTACAAATCTTTCCTAGTCCCTCTTCCATCTCATTTTGTCAGAGTGGAATTTCCCAAAGCCACAACCTTTAAAGGTTTAAAATCTTTAAAATGCAATGTGAGATTCTGACAAACACACTCTGACTTGAAAGAACCATGCTGGCTTCAAGGTTATTTTTCTCTCTAAACATTCTTTGCCTCTAGGATGGCGCACTAATAATACAGCATTAAGAATGTAGCAAAAGCAATTTTACATCTATTTTATAGACCAGAGCAGGAGCCTGAATGTTTGGCTTTCTAACATACAGTGTCTGCTTGGTGAATACTGCACTGAGTTTAAAGAGTGTCACTGTTTTTCTGTGTTTGACTTAAAGTCAGTTCTTTCTTCTTCCATAATCCACAGCAATAAACCACACACCATATTTTCTTTTCAAGTTGGGGTTATAATATTTTATTTTCTCTTTCAAGTTGGCTTATCCTGTCCAACTCATTTATGACAGTGCTTTCTGATATATAATTGTGCTGCCATGTTTTGGGGGCCTCCACAGACCCCTGTAAATATAACGACTTGTGCTTCATGGGCCTGGAAGAAATGGCTAAAAACTTAGTTCCCACAGCTCAGTGGAGCCCAGACCAAGGGGTCTGTGTAGAAATTTAATAGAAAAAGGTCATCAAATGTCAGGAAAAAGAACACTTCTACATCTCTTTCAAAGCTTTAATGAGAGATTTAGAGAGTTTTGTGAAGAGTGTGACTGTGCCACTCATTATTGACTATCAAGTGTCTTTTAGGTGCTAAAAGCAATGCAAGTGACAAAGTGGTAAAAGTCAGTATATGGCTGTGTGTCATCCTCTTTCCCCCCAAGCTTATAATCTACATGAAAAAGCAGACACATCTACTAATAATGACAATAAAAACAAGTTGATAAGGCCTCAACAAAAGCACAGTGACTTGAGAGCTGAGAGGGAGTAGCAATTGCTCTATGTTGAAGGGCTCCTAGGCTTCATTTAGAAGGTATAAGTGAGCCAGGCCTTGAAGAATGTGTACAGTTTTAATAGAATATGCAGGAAGAGGAAAAAGAGACAAGGGAATCATTAAATAAGAAAAGTCCTATGTAAGCCAGAGGTTCAAAGTGGGAAAAAAATGCACACATTCAGGAAACACTGAGGAATCTGATCTAAGCATAGCCTAGGCCACAAGAAGAGAAACAATGACTGGGGAGTGTGGAGAGGTTGTCTTGAGACCATACCATGCAAAGCCTTCACTGCTTTGATCAGGCGTTTAGATTCCTCAATAGGCAGAAAAGAGCAATGTTAGCTATGTAACCCTAATTATGATCCCCGTTAGTGGTTGTGATGACAATTATAAAAATACAAAGGGATCAGGGACAATATCCTGGAAAAGTAAGCCAATGTATTTTTAGCCTCAATAATCTTTAGTCCCAGAATTTCCATACAGAGAGTCAGATCTGGTTGACTCAGATCTGGTGAGTGTCCTCCATAGTGCAAAAAGGACACAAATGATAGCTGGGACTTGAGGCTTGCTGTCTTATGGAAGATAAGGAAAGAAGACCCTCTTCTTCTCCTGTCCTAATGGAGTCTGAGAAAAGAGGGGACAAAGAGGAAGCAAGCACTTGGACTTCATGTGCCTTTACTGTCCCTTCCAAACCAAATTCCAGGGATGCGGTAGATTGATTCAAGGGAAACTGGCAAGATGACCTCCATGTGTACATCAAGGTGGTCATTCCAGATCCAGATGAGTTACAGCCCCATCAGGAACCAAGCAGATGACCTGGGTGAGACTGAGCAAGCAAGGCTATGACTGAGACAAGAAAACAAAATGTAGTTTTAGTCATATTTTATCATAGAGTTCATCAGACCAGATGTCCCCCAGCAGAGGCCAATGAGCCCAGTGAATGACACAGGGACCCATGAGCAACCATCTCCTCTCCACCCCTGTGCATGCACCATACAACTGGATGTCGAGAGATATATCCAGGGAGAGGCAAAAAACACAAATTAGACATTTACTCGAAATAAGTCTAGTTACATGAAAGAATACTAACTCAAAATAGAGTTGGAAAGTCATATTTTCTCCTATCCTACTCCAATTCAGGGACCAGGCATTTAAAAGAAAATCAGCTATAGAAAATTAACAGCGAGAGAGAGAACATTTGAGTAGTTCATTTTTCAACCCCACTTCATAACTATGCTTATCAGTTTGACTCAAATATATCTGTTTATCTCCACCTCTCTCACCTTAGGCCAGGTCACCTTAGTTTAGAAGGGACAGACTAAACTCCTCTAAACCACCTTAAAACTGATCTCTTATACAAATGGTCAGTAAATACATGAAGAAGTATTCAACTTCCCTGGCTATAAAAGAGATACAAATCAAAACTACACTAAGATTTCATCTCACCCCAGTTAGAATGGCCATATTCAGGGGCAATAACAACAATAAACATTGGTGAGGATGCAGCAAAACAGGAACCCTTATACACTGTTGGTGAGAATGCAAATTAGTATAACCATTAGTATAACCGTTATGGAAACCAGTATGGAGAGTCCTCAAAAAGCTAAAGATAGAACTGTCATACGATCAGTGATACCACTCCTGGGCATCTACCCAAAGGAACATAAGTCAGGATATAATAGAGACACCTGTGCACCGACGTTCATTGCAGCACTATTTACAGTAGCCAAGCTATGGAAACCCAGATGCCCTACACTGATAAATGGATCAAGAAAATGTAGTAGATATACACAATGGAGTTTTACTTAGCCATAAAAAATAATGACACCATGTAGTTTGAAGGTAAATGGATGCAACTGGAGGACATTATGTTAAGTGAAGTAAGCCAGGCTCAAAAAGACAAAGGCTGCATGTTTTCTTTCATATGTGGAAGTTAGATCTAAAAGATAAACATATACACAAAAACAAACATGATCAAACATAAAGTCATACATAGAACATTTCTGTAACAGTAGAACTATTCTATGGAACTCAGAGAAGGTGGGAAAGGAAAAGAGAATAGAGCATCAATAATATCATAAAACATAAAATCTGTGAAGGTACAGGAACTAAGGATATGTATTGAAACTTGTTGAAGAACAGGGGATGAAAGGTAAAGGAGTAAGGGAGAGTAATGGAAGAGGGTGAATGGACGAAAGTAAGGCATACTCACTGAAGGGATACACTGAGAAACCCCTTTGAACATTGACTTAGATACTAGTAACGAAAGACAGGACTGCAAAACAGGTACAGTGGGGGGGGGAATTTTGAATGAGGGGGATGAACATGGTTGATGAACTTCATATACTTA